GTGGATTTGACATGTTAAAATGTCTCCAGATGAATGATGCTCAAAAAAAGAAAAGGTCTAAAACACAATGAAGCCAAAACAGACCATATGTGACCCTGGACCACAAAACCAGTCTTACAGAGGCTGAAATTATGTGTGATCAGATTCTCACTATGTGGATTTGACATGTTAAAATGTCTCCAGGTGAATGATGCTCAAAAAAGAAAAGGTCTAAAACACAATGAAGCCAAAACTGACCATATGTGACCCTGGACCACAAAACCAGTCTTAAGTCGCTTGGGAATATTTTTAGCAATAGCCAAAAAAATCATTGTATGGGTCAACATTATCGATTTTTCTTTTAGGCCAAAAATCATTAGGATATTAAGTAAAGGGTTTTGTGGTCCAGGGTCACATATTTGCTTTCTTAATGCAGGTTCATGGTCTTATTGTGACCTTTGTGAACTTTTGTTTTTATAATCTTTTATCAAAATGTAACAACTTGCTTCTCCTCTGAAACAACTTTCCTTTACCGCTGACATCACCTGGTCGCATATACCATTTGATAATGCTTACCTATAACCAAATAGATGTTTTGGCTTTGTTTGAGCAAATGCACAAATGTTCCTTTCTGCTATGGAATGTCCATCTTTCAGAATCAAATCAAAAAACCCAAAAAAAATTTATTGAATATGCAATTTCACTTAGAAAACGACATAACACAGGAGAAACGGGTTGCAAATGTTTCATGTTTTTTTCACAGTGATGCTCATTAAGGATGTTGCTGGCAATCTAAAGGAGGCAGATTTTAAAGAATCCTCTGTGCAGATGAGAGATTTCCAAACATAGCTTGAAATATATGATAATATGCACATTAACAGTCCTTAACAGCTGTTATAAATTGATGATGCATCGTTTGCTATGCAGTGCGTATCTGATCATTAAGCTTTAAAAAAACAAACACAGTTTGTCTTTCAGGGTCTTTTGGGTAATTGGAATTTTTTGTGTTATAGTTAATAAGCCTCTTAAAATATCAGATATCATGTCATGCGTAGTCCAACTCCCCAAAAACGTAATAATATTTATGAATTAATAAGTTTGTGTTTATAATATACTTATATACTGTAATTATAATAAACTACTAATTAATAATGTCATATGTACATTATATATATATATAGAGAGAGAGAGAGAGAGAGAGTATAAATAATAAAAAAAAAATTAATGAATTACAATCCAACATGTACACAAGTATATTTTATTTCTGCGCAAACTTTTTTAAAGATTTCCCCATTTATTTGCCATTGACATATCACAATTACACATAAGTTTTGATTACATAATTGAATTTAGCACAAAAAGTACACAGAGGGATGCATGAGCAAATAGCTAAATACCCCATAACCCAGCTGTTCTCACACTTCCTCTGTTTACGGCTTTCGCCGCTAGTATTTCCCGAAACACAAGCTACTCCCACAGAGAGAGCACAGGAACATCTGCATCTTGTGCATAAAACATCTGGCATGGATGTTTCTGCATTCTGGACAAAAGAAGCACATCCATCTATGGGATTTACGCAGGGCTGGGGACTCTCACGTCGACGCATTCCTCTAAAGTACTGCAGACAGTGGCCTAATCTGTCTGCGGTATGCAGGCTCTGCTATGTCAACTCACTGGCATGCCATGGAGAGAAACACCTATGGGACCATTAATCACTTCAGGACAATATCCTCCCTGTTTTTATCAGATGAGCTCTGACAAATACAGGCACAAAAAACATTCACCTTCATCTGGACCAGCTGACAGGCGTTCCATTGCCTCATTGCTGCTGATACAAGCGTAATTCTTAAAACCGTATGGCCTTAAAGGTGACATATCATGAAAATCGGACTTTTCCAGGTTTTATGTGCTATAATCAGGTCCCCGGTGCATCTACCAACCAAGGAAACGTGAAATAGGTTAACCCAGTAACTTTGTTTTGGTAAGCCTTTTTCTGCAAGCATCTGAAAAAACGAATGCATCTGATTTCGCTCCCTTGGTGACGTGGCAAAGGGAACTCATTATAATATTACCTCCCCTTAATCTGTAAACTTCCACTCACGGCGCCATCATTTTGATTTCACAGGCAACAACGGTGTGCCAGCTCTAATGCCATGGGGAAAGTTCGAGCAAAACATGCTAACTGTTCTGTCTTTGGCTGCACAACAGACAGCAAATTTACCCAGCGTTACATTTCTCCTACACAAAAAAAAGTCTGTACACAGTAAATACAGATGTGTTTCTGAAAGCACACCCACAACAGATGAGAATACCACATGCCTCTGGCAGACACGCTGCTCTTTTCAGATGCTAAATTGGTCTTCAGTATGGATAAACAGCACTTGGACTGTTGGCACATTTCCTATAACGCTCTTTTGGCTTGTACATTAATATATCATGACATTGTGACAGAATAACGTTCCAAAAAGTGCAATTATTACAGCTTTTGCACTGGTAACCTATTCATATATTCATATACGCTATAATTAACATTAAAAGTGAAGTAAATTGACTATAATTAAAATTAGCCTAATTTAAAGAGGCCAGAATGCTGGTGTAAACTCTAAACTGAACTCTCTTAGGTTAATTAAGGGTTCTTTAGTAGTTTGCACTGTGGGGTTTAACTGCTACGTGTTATTCACACTATCAGACCACTCAGCCCACCACCTCTGCACAAAGTTTCCCCCCTCTCTCTCTCTCTCTGTTTTCTCACTTGTCCTTCCCCAAGCTATGTATTCTTTTCACTGTAATGTTTGCCTGTTGCAGGATTCACTACTGCATAAACAAGGCTGGACAGATAGATAGATAGATAGATAGCTAGAGATAGAGAGAGAGAGAGAGAGAGAGAGAGAGAGTGGTATCAAATGTTCACACGTTATAATTTGTTACAGTTTAATACTTCTAAGATGTTATAATATTCCATTCTATTACTGTGATGTTCATTTAATTATTATTATTGTTATTATATTATTATTTTGTATCTTTTTGTACATGTATACTAAGCTTTGGAAATATTGTATCATTTACAGTCATGCCAATAAAGCAATTTTGAATTGAATTGAATTGAAATTGAATTGAGAGAGAGAGAGAGACTTTTTCTCTCAATCCAATGCAAAACTCACAGCCGTCTGCTTTTCCTACCCCACAAAAATGTTCCATTTGCTAAGCTAATTGAGGGGCTCAGAAATTCAGATCAGACTTCATTAGATTCCATTCTGTTATGGTTTACACACACACACACACACACGCTGTTTGACAAGATCCCTGTTTCACGACTTCCTCTGCCCATGATTGTATATGCTGTCAGCACACAAATATTGTTCAGATACTGGCTTTACTAGAAGTGCACACAGGTGTTCTGAGTGGGAGTCTGTTTACGGCCATGAATGAGGCATCAGCACAGTCATAGGTCTGTCATAACGTTGTCTTGGCAATGGATTCAGTTTATGTTTGGTTACATCATGTTACGATGACATTATTTTATGGAACAGCACAACAAGAAAGGCCACTCACATAATCTATTATCAACACTTAGTCACTTAATATTATACTGGTGCTGTTTGCACATGAGGCGGCAGATTTTTTTAAATATGATTATTTAATGGTAATTGGTGCAATTTGTGACTTTGAGGTCTTGAGGCTTCCCATTATGAGAATGCTCACTGTTAAGGAATTGAAACCTGAAATACATTCAAAATTGAATGAAAAGAAATGAAAAATTAAATACTCGTTTTCATATTAATTTCATTACCTCTAATAAGAATCATGAAATAACCTATCAACCTTTTAACTTCTCATTTCAATGAAAACACATTGAAGTGAAGCATTCATTTTCCTATACTACTCTAAGATGTCACCTTTAGAAACAGATTGGCTAATACTTAAAATATGCTTGAGCATATTTATTCACCATGAATGATTAGCACTGATAAAACTGTAGATGGTGCAACTTGTCTGAACTCACGGTCAAAGCAAAGAGTTTGTAAAACCATCGCCAAGGCTTTAAAATGAGAGAGAAAGAAATTATTTCAGGATGTACTGAAAACATGAGGGCATGTTGCTTCACTTGCACGACAAATCAATAAACAAGGTACCAGCACAGACAGCACAAAGGCTTTTAACAACCTCTAAATGTCGTCCTGTAAAATTACACTGTGATGGCTTGATATTGCTTCTTTGTGATGGGCTTCATCACAGTTGAAAGCTAAAGGTGATTAACATACAAATCTGCGTCTTGAAGCAACCTGCAAATTGCTTGACAGCACTTTGAAAGCAGTGTTGCTATTGGGAATCGATGTACAGCGCTGCTTTGCAGTCTAATTCGCACACAGAACAGTGAGTCCTACGGATAAGAACAAACTCGGATAAGGAGGAACTGAAATTCTTTGCGAAAACAAAAACTCCCAGAGTTCTCCTCAACGGTTCAGAGCTCTGAAACTGTTTACTCACGTCTTAATCTGAATTTGATTTGCGACAGCACAGTGGTTTTCGATTTCAGAAGTGGAAAAAGTCAACTCATGTGAATTTTTAGAGCATAAAAAAACTGGCTGAGAAACCTTCAGGTTCTCTCAGTCTCAGGAGGAGATCAGGTTTCGTCAGGTTGACTAAAATTTGTCTCAGGAGGAAGGTCCAGTGACATGAAACTTCAAGTGAATCCTCTGAGAAGTATTTTGTAACTTTCTCAGGGATCTCTTAAAAAAAAAATTCTTCCAGAAGTTTGGGCATCCCTGTAAAATGATGAGCATCTAATAGGCCTATATGATATGATCATGATGGGCTTTACAGATCTTGCCAGGACCAAGCTGTCACACTTTCTGAACCAAACGATTTACGTTAAGAGTGATTAAAATGTATAAAATAAGGATAATATGCATTACACAACATATATGTCCATCATAACTAACACTACGCGGTGTTTCATGTAAGAATGTAGTAAATCAACAATTTGCCGAGATAACAACATGAACTCTGCTCAAACTCACCTTGTCGCTGGACAAGCAGACAGCTGCTGAAAGTGTCAGGAATATCCAAATGTTCCTCATTATTCCTCTTAAGAAGTCTTTTGCAAAGAACTCGTATGATGGCACTCGTCTGCGCTCCTCAAACCAACTGCTCTCTTCGTTCTTTTACTAAAACACAAGAGAGAGAGAGAGAGAGAGAGGACTTTTGCGTCACAGTTGACGAACACCTGGACCAGTGAGAGGTTTTGTCTCAAAACCTAGTACACGAACATCATTTTGACGGAATTTCCGGTCAAAATTTGGTCTATGTGTGAAGCTTACTTGGCTTCGAGACAGAAGAGCGTCAGTGTTGGTAGCTGGTCCAATAGTAGCCGCAGCTAATTTTTTTCTGGTCCAGGAAAAAACAGCTTCAAACTGTTGCAAAGAACTCGTATGATGGCACTCGTCTGCGCTCCTCAAACCAACTGCTCTCTTCGTTCTTTTACTAAAACACATACGCAAGATCCTCCTGAAGAGATATTTGGCGTTTTGCTCCACCTGATCTAACTTCTCTTTTGTCTTTCCAAAAGGGAACAACTGCTGAGAGTCTTGATGCGATGTTAAAGTCTCGGGTCCATGTGAGGCAGCGCGGCTCTCCAGTAGCCTGCTCGGATAGAGGATGAGAGGATGAGAGACTGGCATGACAAGCTGGTAACTAGTTAGTTGCTGGTCTAGAAGGGTCTACCACTTTAGATAAGTGGTGCTTAACCTTTTTGACTCCAAGAACACCTTTGTCTGATACAATAGAAGGACCTCTTGTCATCTTATGTAGCCTACATCTGATAAAATAAAAATAAATAAATAAATGTTTAAAAATATTATGCCAGTTTTTTTTTTTTTTAGTATTTAGATTATAAGTAAAGTTCAATAATCTTCACATTTGCTGCCATGACCTCCTGGTTGAGGACCACCAACTATAAACTGTCTACCACCAACCATTTTACATAGACTATGTAAATCAAAATTCCAATTGCAAACCTATTCAAGCAGTGCTAAAAGTCGAATAAAATGTACAATTTATCATAGTTACTATTGTTTTATTTATTTTGTTTGTTGCAACTGTTGCTATAATAACCCACAAATGTGGTAATCAGCCACCAGTCATCAACAGAAAGAACAAACTGGCAAAAGATTTTTGAAATCTCCTTGCATTGTTTGAATGTCATCCCATATTTGTCATGTTTTTACAGTAGTAACACTAACAGCCCTGTTATTTTAACTGAAAATGTGGTTGATTAGTCATTGTCAATTCTATGCCAGTGTAATCCCTACACGTCAAAACACGTTTCAACTTTTTTTTTCTGTGGCGCATGTTATTTTTGGAATGCTTAAACATTTTTAATTAGCAAGATGATGTTTGTAATGTTGTCTTCTGAGATATACAACCTATCTGTGTGAATATTTTGGGGAATAAAAATAATGAAGTGTGGAAGGAACTGGTGTAGTGGGGGGTTGTCTCCCCCTGCTGTTCAGTCCTGATATGAGTGAAGTACAAGCACACTTTAAATAATGCATTATACGCTTCATTAATAGAGCACTTCATGCAAATAGAGGTTCAAAGCATTTGAATAAGAACTCAAAGTTTAAATAATGTATACACATGTGAATTAGAACTCAAAAACATCTATTTTTTTTATTCTAGATGCCTAAAATAAAGAGCCCACAACAAATTAATGTTTTATCAAAGTTATGTATTCACAAACGTGTTTTTTAAAGGGTAACCAGGGAAACTGAGTTAGTGGCAGATCATTTTGTCTTTGAAAATGTCACACACACTTTACAGTCAATAAAAGCTATCTGATGTATTTCATTATGTTAATGGTATTCGCAACAATAAATACAGAGATTATTCCAAAACCTCAAGACAAATATCACATAATAAAATAAAAATGTCTACATGATATACCTGAATAGATAAATGTAATTTTAAGTTAGGCTGAGGTGTGCGGCACATGATACTGGAAAATACAGTATGCATAAAAGTCAGAGATACAGAGAAGGATGGAAAAAAAAATATTGAAAAAGCAGCAGTCACCCTATCATCTAATTCCAGGTTTTTATGTCTGTTGCTTTTAAGGTGCCAATTTGGTTTTTCCTCCATACAGGGGGAATCTGTGTAAAAAAAAAAAAGTTTTTTTATAGACAATCATCACTATAACGTTGAAGAGAAAAATAGTAAACATGAAGGAGTGTTACGTACAGGAGGTGGAGAGCTGGGTTCTAAATGCCGGCCCAGAAAAGACAGAAGTCTTCTCCAGATGAGTCCACTGCCCAGGAACATGAACCCTGTCACTAACCAAAATACACGCGGGTCCTACACACACACACAAATCAATGTGGGTCAATAAACAACATGTTCTCAAACAGACCGATAACCAGGGTGCGAACTATGGGGGAGCTCGGCTCCCCTTAATAAGACATGGGCTCCCCTGAAAACGTGATTTGTGAAATTTTGGGGGGTCTCAAAAAATATTGACAATGTGATATTTTGGTGTGGGGGCGCTGCGGTGCAAATTCCACTCCATGTTTAGTACATGTTAACTCAAAGATTCGTAGAAAAAATATAAACGTTGGACTCTGTGGTCGGCTCTGTGTTAAGGTAAGGCATGTTATTCGCACAACATTAGTTGTGGCTGTGTTGTTATAGGTCTGCGTGACTCTCGATGTCTTGGGTCTAACTGAACGGAGGAATTATGGTATTCTTCTGTAGCCCCCACCCCCCCTTATAAAAAAAAAACAAAAAAACAAGTGGGCTCCCCCAAAGTCCACGGTATAGTTCGAACACTGCCGATAACACTGTACACAATGCTGGCTATAACACTGAAGTAAAACGGTACACAGTAATAAAACAGTAAACTGTAGTAAAATGGTACCAACCTCTTCAAAGGAAGATTCCAAATTCATTCCAAAAGCCACACCCATCAGACCAAATAAAGAGAGCGAGAAGGTTCCCATGGTGAGCTGGAGGTTCAGTCGCATCATGACATTACGGTGGCTAAAGACAATTTAAGGCAACACATCACTGGTGAATAGGGTCAAATTTTACTTAATTTTTTTACTATTAGTTTTCATTAATTGATATCATTATATTCCCCAGTTAATTAATTTACAGTGCATTAAGCTAAGGTTGTAGTATTACAAGTTTTCTGAAATGCTATGTTTAAATATGCAAATATTACATTAAGTATGCACCAATAATAATACACAATTTTCATACATTTCCAGAACAGAAATCATAACACTGGATAAAACAACCTTGAAAAAAAATCTGGTTTGACATTTTATGTTAATGGTTTTTACAGACAAGATTTTGGATCTCTCTTTTTAATCATTCCATAAATCAGAAAATCTTTTCACCATGTTTTTAAGAATAAAATGCTATATAAATATGGCTTTTAAAGATATGAATTGTAACTGAAATCTACAGACACAAATAGATTTAAGAGTAATCAAATAAAACTTCAATGCGTATTTTGGATGTCTTCTTTACACTAGTCTAAAAGAAGACATGCTATGCAAGCAAAATAGCCCAAACTCTCATAATTAACCAGAACATTAAATAAAACAATAGTTTTACCTGAAATGTCTTGCCTTAAAAATAAACTGTAAATAATAGATGAAATTAAAAGTAACACCCATAACTTCTCAGTTAACTTGATTCTTAATGACACTTTTTCCTCCTCATTTGTGGGTTAACTATTCCCTTTAAGTGTATAATCTGCATATAAATTAAATATCAGTTAAATAAAAAATCTACATAATTTCAATCATGATCCAGTTGCAATATTGTGACGCATATACAGTATCTTGATAATACTGTATCATGAGGTACTTGGAAATGCTCAGCCCTAGTGCAGTTAAAAGCATTATGTTTGCTGCCGGTACAGTACCTATCCAGGTTAATGAAGATGACGCTTTCAGAATCATCGATGAGGTCTTTCAGCTCTCTGGCTTTGTTTCCCAGCTCCTCTGCTTGCATGAAGTAATTCTCCAGCAGTAACTCCATCTCTTCAGCGTGATCTATACCCAGACTACTCTCCTCACTGGCTCCATGTGAACATATGCACAGACATACCCACGTCCAAAGACAGACACACCAACAGATAACAGATCCACACAACAATGATCAGATATCTTCACTGACATCAAGAATATTCGTGTACATATAAATGTGTTGCATTTTGAAACTTAATGGCTATGAAGTTGGATTCTGTGGTGTGACACCTACAACACTTGCGGGTCGCTCCATTTGGTGAGACAGAGTTCATCTATCAGTTCATCCTCATCCAGGATCTTCAGCAGACTGTCTTTAAACACTTTAATGTCTGTCTCCAGCTCTGAGAGGCTGCAGGGAGTTTAAAAGACTGGTTTTACTCCCAATGAAAATTAGAGATCATACTACTCTAAAGCTCTGCATTGACTGCAAATCATTTTCTACCAGACAGAACATATATAGACTAATAATAATGAGGTGTGGATTAATTTGATGACTTATCTAGATCTGTCAGATAAAGGGATGCACAATATATTGGTTGCCTGACCATTTTTAATTTCATAATTTTTTATATGAGTGAAAACCTCTATGTATTGGTATCCCAAGACAATGTTTTTTTTTTGTTTTTTTTTGTGGTGAGAAGCAATTATAAGCCTGCTGAATGAAATACCATTTTAAAATAATGTTCTTTTGTTTGTTTGTTTTATCATTACAATAGTAATTTCTTATTTTAATATTATTATGTAATAATCTGAATTTAAAAAAATTATTAATAAAAATAATTTTTTATGATATATTCATACTGAAAGGGTCAAAAATAGTCAGAATGTGGCCTGAGTCAAATGGAAAAGGTTTGTGCTTTTAATGATTACTTAAAGAGGTTTCAGCTGGTTTGTATAGTGCACCCAAGTGTGATGATTTTTTTTTTATTAAAAATATTATGGCTCGCATTAAAAAAAACTTCAGAATAAAGTCTCTTTTTTTCAGCTTTTTTTATTATGATTTTCTATGCACATGTATTCCCCTACAAAAAAATGAATAAATCATTCTAATAATAATAAAAAACTCAAATAATTCCAATTAATTCTTTCCTAATTAGAACTTAAAATGTATTTCTTCATACTGCAATACTGTACTGTACATCAGAAAAACATTAGTAGCAGCCCTAGTATGATAATAGCATTGCTCGATATCAGGCACTTTTTATTAACACCAGTAGAGGCAAAAACGACATATTTCAAAACTGACTTGTTGACTAGGACATGCTCTATAATTGTGTTAATAATTACACAAAACTATCACAGACAGACTTCACAGCAAAGAGAAACTTGTGGCTTATGCACTATAATGGGAACATTGCTCACAGTAGGCAATTTTTAATTGTACAGTACTTGAAATTTATTGTTAAATGCACTTTCTAGCACCTCTAAATTATGCTCCTTAAAAGCACCACCATAAAAAATATTACAACTACAAACACAAGGGGGAAAAATAGAAAAACACACTAGGGGACATTACTAAAAAACAGCTGTTAGATGGCCAAGTCGACCATCCTGACTCGTCCCTAATTAACACAAGAAAAACACAACAAAACAATCGTTTTAAACCTCTGGATAAGCTTCATACAGCAATTACCCTACCAATTATGTTACAATGATCCTTCACTAAGATTAGCTAATGAGAAAGTTAGGTTCTTAATGGTGTAGTTAAATGACTCTTGCATTTGGGAACATAATGTTCTAAAAACAACAATATGGCTGGGGAAAGTCAGTTTTTTAATGAAGTTAATGAACTCACTTCTTGCTATTAAGCAGGAGCATATGGAGTTTGCTGCGGTCAGCAGAGAGGAGCTTTGGGTCGACCAACGATTCCAAACAATCCAGAACCTGAGGCTGAACTTCACTGAGCCGCATCTGCAGCACATTCACCTGTGCCAGAACATATGCTTACCCATATAAACATGCAACAACACATGACTGCACATATGGAAAAAAAATGAAGTAGATGCAGAGACCAAGAACAAAAACATGGACAAAAATCAGACTGTGGTATGAAACAACAATTCCACACTACCCAATATAATCCCCAGACATGAATAACTCAAAGTAATAAATATGTTTATGATGCACTTAAGGCTGCAGTATTCTATTTAATTTTATTCCCTCTATTTTAATATATTTTAAAATGTAATTTATTCATGTGATCCCAAAGCTGAATTTTCAGGATCATTACTCCAGTCTTCAGTGTCACTTTGTTCTGGCAAACAAGTCCATGAGACAGTCAGGAGCTTTGTCTTACTCATGCTCAATGAACACTCGCTTCCATCCAATGTTAACGTTTCTCTTGTCATTTATTTAAAACAAAATACACGCAATACAGGAAAAAAAAAAAGAATTCACTCCCACAATCTGATTGGTCTGCACTCCTTTGTTAATCTTATAGTGCACTTGTGAATTGGTACCATTTACCTACAGAAGGAGTACAAACTCGAATCAACACAAATAAATGTTAAATAAAAAAATAAAAAATATTTAAATAAAGAAATATATTTTAAGAAAAATGAAATACAATACTTAAATTCAACAAAAACACAATAAACAAATATAAGACTCCTACACAACGGCCCCTAATTGTAAGTGTATAGAATTACAATTAAACTAGATATAAATATGTAAGGAGTCAATCTTCTTTTTATATACCATTACGGGTAGTTGCATGTTCCCGGGGGCAGGGTTTATGTAATGATGTCACATACCCGGGAAGAAGCTTGTTGTTGTCTCTACCAACCTTTTTTGTAGTCATTAAACAGTGATTCCTTTAAAAGAAAGTATATCTTTTTGCATTGAACTTTGAGCGTTGTAACTTTGCAAATGTTGTTTATGCTCTAACAGCAATATTACACACTAGGTAAAGTTAAAAAAGTGAAATCATAATCAACCACCCCTTTAGCATCTGTGGTCATGAAGTCATCTGAAAGACTGGTGCTGGCCCACCTGAAGGACATCACTGGACCCTTGCTGGACCCCCTGCAGTTTGCCTACCGAGCAAACAGGTCTGTGGATGATGCAGTCAACATGGGACTGCATTATATTCTACAACATCTGGACAGACCAGGGGCTTACACTACCAGTTAAACGTTTTTGAACAGTAAGATTTTTTATGTTTTTTAAAGAATTCTCTTTCAAAATAATAATAATAATAATAATAATAATAAATGTTTTTTTGAGCAGCAAATCAGAA